ATTTGTCTGTCTGTCTGTCTGTCTGTCTCTCTCTCTCTCTCTCTCTCTCTCTCTCTCTCTCTCTCTCTCTCTCTCTCTGCGTGTGTGTGTGTGTCTCGCGTGCTCTCTCTCTCTCTCTCTCTCTCTCTCTCACACACACACGCACACACACCTACCCCTCGCCGCGCGCGCAGGGAGAGACACACACAGACATTGAGCCACGAAGGCATCACACACACACACACACACACAGACAGAGAGAGAGAGAGAGAGAGAGAGAGAGAGAGAGAGAGAGAGAGAGAGAGAGATGATTTCCTTTGGGGCATTTACTTTTTAAATTTTAAGTTGCGATATTTTATCCCGTAAATTTAATTGTTGTTTCTTCTCGAGAAGAGAAAAGACCAACGAGACTGAGTGAATGTGTGTGTGTTTGGGAGTGAGGGGGGGGGGAGGGGGGCTGATTCAAATCATTTGTATAGTTGGAATATAGAACCGTTCAAGCAATGCTTTTGAATTTGATTACACGAGTCCAAACCATAATGTTCCGACGAAAAGCACGTGGGATCGTAAGTTCCACCGAAGATACTGGCTTTAGAGGAACCAGTTCTGGCCCCATAGGCAGCGGACATAATTCATTTAGGAAGATAGCAAAGGTAGCCATCGGGTGGTTATTTAGAAGTAGAAGAACTGTGAACGGGAAGAAAAGGAGCCGTCGAACTTTAAAGAAACGTTTTTTTCGTTCCACTCAGTACCCTCTAATTCAGATTGTTGGCTTTACAACGATCTGAACTGCTTCCAAAGTCGCAATGATTACACGATTAAATAGCAATCTCTATCTGTGGAAATTAACTAATTCGCCCTTATGTAAGATGGGTAACGCTTATGAAATTGAAGATGAATTTCACTTTATGTTCTATAGTTCACACTTTGTCCCTCAGAGGAAATTGTTAATCCCTCCCAGCCTAACTCGGCCCTGAGACAGAAATATGCAATGTTTCACTCATGATAAGAGATATGTTCACAACCTGTACTTATTCATTATGGAAACTTTACTTATCAAATGCGTATTTTATGTGATCTGGTGTGGGCCAATGGCCTTAAACATTGAATAAACTTACTTACTTAATGTCATGATTACACGATTCTGTACGAATTCATTCGGACAAAATCTGACTCGATTAGCACAAACATTTATCTTGACATTTGGTGAAGGGTCACTGCCCTTCATTTTTAGGTTAAAGTAAATTTCGATCCCGATCCCACCCCACTGTCCCCTTTCCCCCATTTCAAGTTAAAACCTCCTTTCGCTTAAGATGAAACAGCAAACCACATCGTGTGCCCTTGTTCATACTAAGCTAACGTTTACTTTATTCACTTTTCCGAAGCTCTTGAACCGCTGTAGATTTCAGTGGCTATGTCCTTTTGAAAATACCTTCTTTGTTCGAACTGATGCCATTCACACAGTACCTAGCAAAATCTCCAGTGGTGTTGTCGAGCTTGTCTGGAGAGAAGGGGTCAGCACCTGAACCATGCACTTCAAATAGCCAGTACATCCTCCGAATTCACTTATGTCAATTTTATATCGAAGTTTGTCCTTCATCCACAAATGCTCACTTTGGTCAAACTCCTTATATGAATGATATAGTCCATTTCGCGGCAAACATTGTTAAAGGCAAATTAAAATGGTAATGCCGGAGTTTGCGTTTATCACATCTGTCATCTTGGCTATATCATTTGACATGCTGGACCTCCAAAATAAAACGCGTATTTCCAACAGGACCAAGCTACGTGTGTTGAGATCACCCTTCGAGAATCTCCAAACCATCCACTCAATTTGGGATTCAAACCAGGGTCATCGGTCCACTATTATAACAACTGAGCTACCGGTGTGCTCAAAATTCAAATTAAAACACTTAGTTGTGTGTAACCTACGAGAGCGCTGCTTGAGGCTGGTAAAGACTCAATAATTGGAAACACATCTGGTCCACGTCCAGTCAGTCATGTAGCATGGATTAGTCTACTTGAACGGATCAGGGCAGGACATTTTGACGATTAGTACCCACTGAATTAGATTTAATGGGCGAGAAGGGAAATAAGATGGTTGAAAACCCTAAATACTTTCACAAGGTGAGAGTAACATTTCTCGAATATATGAAATATTAGATTACTACAACAGATGTGCCACATTCTAGAGACAATAAAAAATGTTGTTCAAAATCATTCCTGGCGATATTGGTTCTGGTTTTCCTCAGAGGAACGGAAGAAGTAAACAAACAAAACTGGGCAAAGAAAAAGAAGAAAAATTAAAACTTGACAAAATTATATCATGAGCTTCAGATATCTCTTTTGGGGAGTTCATTATTTGAAGCAATGCCTGGAAAAGATGGCGTTCATAATTTTTTTATCTCCAAGTCTCGGTGCACTGTGTTTAATTTTGAATCAAAAAGTATTGATAGCACATATTCTTCCTTCATAAGGCTTGGAATTTATTTACAAGTGCGCCGAGGTTGCATATCAAAGAGCTGAGAAACGTACTATATTTCTATTTAAAATCAAATCGAACGGAATGCTTGAAACCTCGTAAAGTCATTTTCATTTTTTGTATCCGGACACATATCTTTATACGAGAAGGAAGGAAAGATTCACAGGTGTTTTTGGTGTACATGCTAGGGTCTTCGAAGTTATGTGTCTCTTTCTACGCTTGTGCTACCCC